CATCATAGTAATAATCTCTTCAGCCATAAGTAATCACCGGATTCTATAAATTTGTGGATGAAAGTTCAGTGAAGAAAGGATAGCCATGTATCTCCAAGCATCCCTTAAAAAATTACTTATTACAAAGGGAAAAGTCACTTTACTGTAGATCAGCCTCATGAACCCCACCTGAACCAATGAACTAAAGCATCATTAATAAATGGAAAAAATTGGCATCCCAACTGATACGATGCCCAAAAAATGACATAGTATCTTTTTTTGTTTTTTTTAGATGGAGTCTTGCTCTGTCACCCAGGCTGGAGTGCAGTAGCATGATCTCAGCTCACTGTAACCTCTGCCTCCCAGGTTCAAGCAATTCTTGTGCCTTAGCCTCCTGAGCAGCTGGGAATACAGACACATGCCACCATGCCCGGCTAATTTTTTTGTATTTTTAGTAGAGACAGGGTTTTACCATCTCAGCCAGGCTGATCTCGAACTCCTGACCACAGGTAATCTGCCCGCCTTGGCCTCCCAAAGTGCTGGGATTACAGGTGTGAGCCACCGCGCCTGGCCCATAACATCTCTTCTGTGGCTTTCCAGCCAAACATAACATAACTGAATCTAATTGCAAGAATACACAAACACAAATTGAGGAATATTCTAAACATAACTGTCATTTTGAAAGAAAAAGAAAAGCTGAAGAACCATTCCAGCTTAAAGACTAAAGATATATAACTAAATGATCCTAGATTATATCCTAGACCAGTTGACCAAGTCAGACATAGCTATAAAGAATATTATTGGGGCCGGGCGCGGTGGCTCAAGCCTGTAATCCCAGCACTTTGGGAGGCTGAGACGGGCGGATCACGAGGTCAGGAGATTGAGACCATCCTGGCTAACACGGTGAAACCCCGTCTCTACTAAAAAATTCAAAAAACTAGCCGGGCGAGGTGGCGGGCACCTTTAGTCCCAGCTACTCGGGAGGCTGAGGCAGGAGAATGGCGTAAACCCGGGAGGTGGAGCTTGCAGTGAGCCGAGATCTGGCCACTGCACTCCAGCCTGGGCGACAGAGCGAGACTCTGTCTCAAAAAAAAAAAAAAGAATTGGGACAAATGGTGAAATTTGAATATTAACTGTGGATTAGATAAAAGTTTCCCAAATTTTCTTGGTTCACAGTGCTTTTAGCATCTCAGTTTCTGTTGTTGTTGCTGTTTTGAGATGGAGTCTTGCTCTGTCACCCAGGCTGAGTGCAGTGGTGTGATCTCTGGCTCACTGCAACCTCCACCTTCCAGGTTCAATGTATCCTCCTGCCTCAGCCTCCCGAGTAGTTGGGATTACAGGTGCCTGCCACCACGCCTGGCTAATTTTTGTATTTTTAGTAGAGATGGGGTTTCACCATGTTGTCCAGGCTGGTCTCGAACTCCTGACCTCAAGTTATCCACTCACCTCAGCCTCCCAAAGTGCTGGGATTACATTTGTAAGTGCCCACGCCTGGCCTCTCAGTTTTTGTTTTGTTTTGTTTTTTGGTATATATATATTTTTGAGACAAAGTCTTCACTCTGTTGCCCAGGCTAGAGTGCAGAGGCAGGATCTTGGCTCACTGCAACCTCCACCTCCCAGGTTCAAGCGATTCTCCTTCCTCAGCCTCCCGAGTAGCTGGGACTATAGGCACATGCCACCATGCCTGGCTAATTTTTTGTATTTTTAGTAGGGATAAGGTTTCACCATGTTAGCCAGGATGGTCTTCATCTCCTGACCTCATAAGCCTGCCTCGGCCTCCCAAAGTGCTAGAATTACAGGCGTGAGCCACCGTGCCCCTGGCCAGTATTTGTTTTTACGATGCCCCTTGGCGAAAAGAAATATCTAGGTCCAAACAACTTACTAAGTATTTATGCCCTAATAACTTAGTAGCCATTAAAAAAATACATGCAAATTAAAAGGAAAACAATGTTTTTCATTCTTAAACAACCACACTTACTTATTAACGGGATGTGTGCACCTGTTGGGCACATACTTCTCAAACCTTGGAATTAGACTGGGCAAGGCCACCCTCATTTCCTGTTCCACATTGATTTTTGCAGTGTACTCACTTTTCCTTTTTTTTTTTTTCTTTTTTTTGAGACAGAGTCTGGCTCTGTCGCCCAGGCAGGTGTGCAGTGGCGCGATCTCAGCTCACTGCAAGCTCTGCCTCCCGGATTCATGCCATTCTCCTGTCTCAGCCGCCTGAGTACAGGCGCCCGCCACCATGCCCAGCTAATTTTTTGTATTTTTTAGTAGAGACGAGGTTTCACCTCTGTTAGCCAGGATGGTCTCGATCTCCTGACCTTGTGATTCGCCCGCCTCCACCTCCCAGAGTGCTGGGATTACAGGCGTGAGCCACCGCGCCCGGCCCAGTGTACTCACTTTTCATCACAACCAACTGGAAAGCCCAGATGCCCCAAGATATGACATAGACAAGGAATTTGGCGCCATCTATTGTTGAAACTGTAAACAACCTAGTAGCTAGTAGTTTTGTACAGTCGTTTAGATTTCATTTTGTTTGCCTTGAAAATTTAGAATGCAAGCTATTCCACAGATATCCCCCTGTGGATTTACTGTGGGAATGTGAGGTACCTCAGTGCACAGTTTGATTCAAACAACAGGATTTTATAATAGTGCTGTATAAATACTGCATTTTCTGATTTTGATAAATTACTGTTGCCATGTAGAAGAAAGTCCTTCTGAGGAAACACACATTTAATTATTTATGGATAAAGAAACATGCTGGCTGGGCGCACTGGCTCATGCCTATAATCTCAGCACTTTGGAAGGCTGAGGCAGGAGGACCGCTTGAACCCAGGAGTTCAAAACCAGCCTGGGTGACATAGTGAGACTCCTTCTCTAAAAAAAAGAAATATATATATACACACATATTTATATATATATATACACACATATATGTATATAATATCCACTATATGTATGTGTATATATTATATACGTGTTTATATATATTTCTGAACAATTCTCCTGCCTCAGCCTCCCAAGTCACTGGGATTACAGGTGTGCGCCACCACATCTGCTAATTTTTGTATTTTCAGTAGAGATGCGGTTTCACCATGTTGGCAAGGCTGGTCTCGAACTCCTGACCTCAAGTGATCTACCTGTCTTGGCATCCCAAAGTGCTGGGATTGTAGGTGTGAGCCACCGAGCTGGGTCTGTGTTTGTTCATATCTATCTATCTATCTATCTATCTATCTATCTATCTATCTATTAAAATGTCTGCAAATAAACCTCAAACTACTCAGAAAAATGTGAGTATACATGTACATATAGACAGCACAAGTGATAGAAAAAATGGGACAAAATGTTAACAATTTATGAATTTGGATAAAGGGTAGACAAGATTTTTTTGGTACCATTCTTGAAACTTTTCTGTGTAAAAATATTTCAAAATGGTTTTGAAAGATGAAAGGCAATACTACCTTTTAAGGTATATATTCATACATAGTAAAACAATTTTAAATGCCTGGAAATTAAAGCAGCATTCAGATTGTTGCAACTGTTGAGAGGGAAGAGGGATGTATTGGGAAAAGCTATGCACAGTATCAGTGATGTTTTCTTTTTTCATTTATTTATTTTTAGACAGGGTCCAACTTTGTTGCCCAGGCTAGAGGGCAATGGCACGATCATAGCTCACTGCAGCCTCAACCTCCCAGGATCAGGTGATTCTCCCACCTCAGCCTCCTGAGTGGCTGGGACTACAGGCTTGGGCCACCACACAGCTAACTTTTTTTTTTTTGTAGAGACAGGGTTCTGCCATGTTGCCCAGGCTGATCTCGAACTCCTGGGCTCAAATGATCCACTGGGCCTTGGCCTCCCAAGGTGCTGAGATTATGGGCATGGGCTACCATGCCCAGTGGTGATATTGTATTTCTTAAACTGGGTGGGGGATACATGGCTATTCATTCCATTATACTTTATACCTTTAAGTATGTCCAAAATATTTCATAATTTCCTTTCTAAAAATACACATTGCCGGGTGCGGTGGCTCAAGCCTGTAATCCCAGCACTTTGGGAGGCCGAGACGGGTGGATCACGAGGTCAGGAGATCGAGACCATCCTGGCTAACCCGGTGAAACCCCGTCTCGACTAAAAAATACAAAAAAAAAAAAACTAGCCGGGCGAAGTGGTGGGCGCCTGTAGTCCCAGCTACTCGGGAGGCTGAGGCAGGAGAATGGCGTAAACCCAGGAGACAGAGCTTGCAGTGAGCTGAGATCCGGCCACCACACTCCAGCCTGGGCGACCGAGCGAGACTCCCTCTCAAAAAAAAAAAAAAAAAAGAAGAAAAAAAATATACATTAAAAAGATGTAGGATTTTTCTTAATACATAAAAAAAGTATGAGCAAATGAGAGCATGTAGCTGCTGTATGCTGGGGACTACTACGTACTTCGTGTGCATTATCTCCTACAATCCTTATCACCACCTCATGCCTACAACATATGCCAACATTAAGTGTATCGGGCTGGCTCCAGAATCCATGCTGGCACCATACCTCCCAGGTCCATACTATGGAAAGAACAGCTAACTTGTGCTCATTTTTATTTTTTTTATATTCAAAGAGTGGGGGAAAAAAACAACTTTCTTGCTCTTTCAATTCCAAACTAATTTAATACATACAGTAGAAAATGTAGCTATATATAATAAAATGTCAAAAGCATCAATATGGGCCGGACACTGTGGCTCATGCCTGTAATCCCAGCACTTTGGGAGGCCAAGGCAGGTGGGTCACCAGAGGTCAGGAGTTGGAGACCAGCCTGGCCAACATGGTGAAACCCCATGTCTACTAAAAATACAAAAATTAGCTCGGCCTGGTGGTGGGCACCTGTAATCCCAGCTACTCAGGTGGCTGAGGCAGGAGAATCGCTTGAACCTGGGAGGCGGAGGTTGCAGTGAGCAGAGATTATGCCACTGGACTCTAGCCTGGGCGGAAAGAGTGAAACTGTCTCAAAACAAAAACAAAACAAAAAAACCATCAATATGAAAAAAATAGTAATCAATTTTAATCTCTGGCATGTTTTACTGCTTAGTCTCAACAGCACCACACTTAATCAGTTGTTAAACAGCTGAAGATTTGACATTTTACAATTATTCTTCCACAATACCAGTTACCCTATTACAGGGCCAAAGGTGAACTGCCGAAGAAATCAGATGTTTAGCAGTTTGATTTATTAAATCATACTGAGAAGTTAGCATGTGGATTCTTTTACGCTTTAAAACTATCCAAATTCTAACCAGGACTTATATTTCATATTTGTAAATAATTTTAGAAGCTTCAGTGAATTAAGTTGTATTATTTATCAAAACAATCCAGAATAAACGTCTTAAAAAAACTTAATGTTTAAAAAATACATTTTAAAATTAAAATGTCGAAAATCTGACTTTACTATGAAATGTTGAGCCTTTGTTCATTGCCTTCCCGTAATGCACTTCCCTTAAGATGTTTAAAGTTAGATGAGAAAAGAAGCAATACTTTGTAATATACAGGGAAATTGGCAGCCATTCTTTTTCAGGGCACTATAATCATTGTCAAGTTCTATTTATCTTCTGTAACTGAAGATACTGACTGAAAAAATAAATTACCATTCCTCTCAGACTGACTTTTATTCAAGCAGCTGCTTTTCTCATCTGCTGGAATGTAGCAGAAAAGTGGTTATCTTAGGACTCTTTATTCTTCCACTGTTACATTGTCAGCTAAAGGGAAGGGGAGAGCAGACCTCGAGGTCACGTTCGAAGTGAACAGCTGGGAGCTGAGGAAACTGACGTCCACAGCTCCAGCATGGCTTCGCGTTAACACCTGCAGCAGGCCGAGCCTTTCTCACACAGAGGAGTCAACAAATCCATCAGATCTCTGTAATAGGAGGGCCAAGACTAAACACTCTTGCCTTGACTCCAAATAGACAATTCCATTTAAATGAAAAGCGATAGGAACCAGATTCAGAATCGCTTCACGCCTTGCCCAAGGCCGTCTTCCAGAACCAGGGTTCCGACCTCCTCACTTTCCTGACTCTGGGGTCCGCCTCTCGAAGATCTCGAGCAAGGGGAACATAATATTGGAGGGGGAAGAGGAGCAGCAGACCGGCCCATGGAACCGAAGAAAAATCCAGGAAAAAACAAAACAAAACAAAAAACAAAACACTCCCCAAAGGACCAGATACTACCAGACCTGCCCTGAAGAGCCAATACATTTCCACCACTCGGCTGCGAAAGCAACAAACGCCTCCCGTCCGGGCGTCCCTAAAAACAAGGCCGCGCTCACCTCGAAGGGTAAACCCAACCGCCCCCCAACGCCTCCTTCCCGTCAGGGGACGCAGCCCCAGAGACCCGGTAACCCCGGCCGCGTATCCAGGGCCTGCAGATGACGTCAGCAGCCCCGCGCTAGCATCGCGAGACTCCGCCTCCCTCTCCCTGCTCCCCGCACTCCCAACCGCCCGCGCCTGCTGCCAGGCAGCGGCTGGGATGGCGAGCAGCGGAGGCGAGGCGGTGACGAGAGCAGCGGGTCCGCCATTGGACGAGGAGGCCTGAGGGACGGGCCAGCGGTGCACAAGGAGAGACCGAGGCGGGTGGCCCCGAGAGAGCCAAGGCCATGGAGGCCAACATGTCGAAGCGGAAGGAGCCCGGCAGGTCTCTCCGCATCAAAGTCATCTCCATGGGCAACGCCGAAGTGGGGAAAGTGAGTACTGCGCGCTGGGAGGGGCGGGCCCCAGCGTGGCGGGGCGACGTGCCCATTGGCTGGAAGGGCGGCCACTCAACGGCCTGGGGCCCGGCCTCCTTCCCCCCCCCCCCCCGAGCAGGCCCGGGTCTCCGCCTAGGGGTGCGGCTCCGCGAGCGAAGCTCCCCGACCTTTTTGACCTTTGCGTTGCCCCCTCGTCTTCCGACGTCATTCTCCCGGAGATGCAGTCTAGGGTGGCCTCTAGGCCTTGAATATGTCCCCCAAAGAGTAAGGAGGCCTGGGTTCCCATGCGGGGCCGTCGGCTAGATGCCTTGCCCGCGTTCTAGGGGGCTGTCCGGGACCGGGAAGTGGAGGATGAAAGTTGAGTTCCCCCAGCCGGGCCTGGGAGTTGGCGGAACGTCATGGGGTGCGTGTGAGAATTTGGGGTTCGCGAAATGGTGCCCGGCAGCCCAGATTCTGCATTCCCGTCACGAGAGAGCGTAACTGACGTTGATGTGTTTCACAGGGCAGGTGCCAGGGATGGCCGGGGTCCGGCGCTGTTTTGTTTTGCGTTGTGTTTTATTTCTGGTGGTGTTCCCATATCTATTAGTTCCACCGCCCTTCTCTGCCCCATCTATGGTTCACCAGCTATAAACTCTCCTTTAGTATGCGGGAAGGTAAGGCCAGAGGTAACCTGAGGCCTTTTCCCTGACGAATTCCAAGACGGCCTTCTCTTCACCCAAATTATTTCCTTCTGGGCAAGTGGAAGCTGTTGGTTAAGAACTTCCCAAAGACATCAAATCAATGACCGAGAAAAGATTAGAACCTAAGTCTTCACATTCCCACTGCGGTGCTCTTTCCATCGTTGTCAAAATCAACTCCGAAAGAGCTGTTAAGGCAGTGCTTAGGCCAGCGCCTGGCACCCAGGAGATGTTCAGTAAATGTTTACTTAGTGTTTTTTATTTCTACGTAGCATGATCCTGTACTGCCTATGTGTGTATGTGCTAGCATAGTATTCACTGAAAGTCAACATTTTTTTGAACGTCAGCTGTGTACGTGCGAGGTTTTTTGTTTTTTTAAGCCTCTAGGGACTGGGCACGGTAGCTCAGGCCTGTAATCCCAGCACTTTGGGAGGCCAAGGCGGGCGGATCACTTGAGGTCAGCAGTTCAAGACCAGCATGACCAACAAGGTGAAACCCCGTCTCTACTAAAAATGCAAAATTAGCCAGGCATGGTGGTACACGCCTTTAATCCCAGCTACTTGGGAGGCTGACGCAGGAGAATCACTTAAACCGGGGAGACAGAGGGTGCAGTGGGCCGAGATCGCACCTTTGCACTCCAGCCTGGGCGGCAGTAAGACTCTGTCTCAGAAAAAAAAAAAAAAAAAGTTATTTATTGTGTCTAATGATGCAACATTAGAAGCAGCTCAGAATGCCTGGTGTCACCACATCTATTTAACATTTTTCTAGTTTTATTAGCCAGTGCAATTAGACAAGAGTTAGAAAATACAAAAATATTAGAAAAGAGAAGGTAAAATTAACATTATTTGCTAATAATGAGATTGTTTACCTGGAAACCTAAAGAGAATTAACTGAAAAACTATTAGAAACATGAAAATTCAATAAAGCAAAGTTAATACCCACAAATTAATAACTTTATTGTGTCCAAATTATATTCAGAATTATATTGGAATTATATTGGAATTACACATTCCAAATGTGTAATTGAAAAACAATTTTAATTTACAGTTACAACAAAAACAAAGTGCCTAGGTTTAAACTTAACATGAAATAGGCAGCACCTATATGAAGACAAGTTTCAAACTCTACGAAGAGACATAAATTACTTAGGCAAATGGAAACATATACGTTTTCGTTAGATAGGATTATGCAATATTGTATAGATGTGAATTACTCAACGTACAAATGAAATTCAATTCAATTCCAGTGAAAACATCAATAAGGGTTTTTTTTTTTTTTTCCAGAACATAATACAAGACTACTAAAGTCTTTTTGAAAAATTAATGTGAAAACAACAAAGAAAATTTTTTGGGAAAAAAAGAGAAATGAGAGAAGACTAACTGTTATCAGCCTTGTTAAAATATTTTTCAGGCCGGGCACAGTGGCTAACGCCTGTAATTCTAGCACTTTGGGAGGCCAAGGCAGGCGGATTGCCTGAGCTCAGGAGTTTGAGACCAGCCTGGGCAACACGGTGAAACCCCATCTCCACTAAAATACAAAAAAATTAGCCAGGCATGGTGGCACATGCCTGTAGTCCCAGCTACTTGGGAGGCTGAGGCAGGAGAATTGCTCGAACCTGGGAGGCGGAGGTTGCAGTGAGCTGAGATCTTGCCACTGCACTCCAGCTTGGGGACAGAGTGAGACTGTCTCTAAAAAGAAAAAAATTTTTTTATTCACAGTGATGATGGTTTTTCAGCGTTCACAATTTCCACCAGAAAGGTTTTCCTTAGTGTTGGGTAAACCTTCCTTGGATGTCTGTGAGAGCTTTTTGCATGCATTCCCATATTGGTTTCTGTGATGTATAAAAGTAGACTCCCATGTTACAAATAGGAAACTATGCCGTGATACCTGAGTCTTGACATCATCACATTCACATGTTTGGTGTTGGAAGTTAAAACATGATTCCCTTTTCAAGTGTGGTTCTTGAGAGACTCAGGTACGTTTTGTGACAGGCAGTAGCATCTTAAGAATTCTTAAGTCCAAGAAGGGACTTGCTCCTGATCTCCCTGAAGATCTCTACCATTTAATTAAGAAGTAGTTGTTGTTCGAAAGCATCTTGAACAGAAAGAATATAAGGATGCTAAATTCCGTCTGATTCTGATAGAGAGCCGGAGTCACCCTTTGGCTCAATATTGTAAGACCAAGTGAGTCCTCCCTCCCAATTGGAAATGAGTGATCTGCAGCCTCTGTCCTGGTCATATAAATTTGTCTATGTACTCAAGCAATGAAATGATTGTTTTATTTAAAAAAAAATTTTTTTTTCAAGCTACCAAACTTTTCCCATTGGTATTGGGAAGGAAAATGGAGACATCAGTGGAACAGAGTAGAGTCCAGTAATAAACACAAATACATAAGGAAATTCAATTTACAACAAATGTAGTAAAAGTATGGGAAAATAGAGACCATTTAGTAAATATTGCTGGAACAACTACGTACTATTTGAGAGTAGGTTCGATTCCTATTACATTCCTTTCTCAAAAATAAATTCTAGGCTGGGCACGGTGGCTCATGCCTGTAATTCCAACACTTTGGGAGGCTGAGGTGAGCAGATCACGAGGTCAGGAGATCGAGACCATCCTGGCCAACATGGTGAAACCCCATCTCTCCTAAAAATATATATATAAATAAATTCTAGATGGATAAAAGTTTTAAGTGTAACTTTTTAAATAACTTATTATTTTGCCTTAGTGGTAAAAGTAACACATACTCATTTTAAAGCATTTGGAAAATATAGGATGATATACAGGTAAAGCATTTTAAAGTTAAAAATTAAGGAATGCCTTAGTAATTAATCATTGGCTCAAACAGCAAATCAAAACAAATGACAAAGTAACTAGCTAGCAATGAAAAGGAGGGAATATTTGTGTATCACAGACTATTGTGCAACCATAAAAAAGTGAGTAGAGCTATTTTAAAGTTAACTTGGGAACCATAATTTGTTATTGCTAAGAGAGAAAAGCAAACTCTAGAAGTATGTGCAATACTCTATGAAGTGAGTACTTTTTACTGCAAGTAGGACAAACCCAATTCAATTGATTTAACAGGAAATTTTTTTTTTTCTCTTTTTGAGACAGCGTCTCCCTCTGCCACCCAGGCTGGAGTGCAGTGGCACCATCGTGGTTCACTGCAGCCCCTCCTCCTAGGCTCAAAAAAAAAAAAAAAAAAAAAAGGAACTAATCTAATAGATATTTGGAGATGTGGATCTCATCTTGGCAGTGAGGTCAAGGCTAGACAGGTATCATTGAAAGCGTAAGAATAGAAGACATCTTCAAAAGAAAAGAGCACAAGATTGAGAACTCAACTGAAAACATATGCATATTTAGTAATAAGGGAGGAATTTTAAAATAATTTTTCTTAAAATCTTTTAACACTTGTTTCAGTTATAGTTTTGTCTTTTTTTTTTTTTTTTTTGAGACGGAGTCTCGCTCTGTAGCCCAGGCTAGAGTGCAGTGGCCAGATCTCAGCTCACTGCAAGCTCCGCCTCCCGGGTTCACGCCATTCTCCGGCCTCAGCCTCCCGAGTAGCTGGGACTACAGGCGCCCACCACCTCGCCCGGCTAGTTTTTTGTATTTCTTAGTAGAGACGGGGTTTCACCGTGTTAGCCAGGATGGTCTTGATCTCCTGACCTCGTGATCCACCCGTCTCGGCCTCCCAAAGTGCTGGGATTACAGGCTTGAGCCACCGCGCCCGGCCTTTTTTTTTTTTTTTTTTTTTTTTTTTTTTTAGGACAGAGTTCACTCTTACCGCCCAGGCTGGAGTGCAATGGCAGCAATCTCAGCTCACTGCAACCTCCGCCTCCCAGGTTTACACAATTCTCCTGCCTCAGCCTCCCGAGTAGCTGGGATTACAGGTGCCTGCCACCATGCCTGGCTAATTTTTATATCTTTGTAGAGAGGGGTTTTGCCATGTTGGCCAGGCTAATCTTGAACTCGTGACCTCAGGTGATCCGCCCTCCTCAGCCTCTGAAAGTGCTGAGATTACAGGTGTGAGCCACCACGCCACACCACTTTTGTCTTTTGAAAATGCTTTTTCATGGTGATGGAGGAACCATAATGAAGAAATATACTTATTATGTATGTGTTCTCACTGTATATTTACTAAATGCCTGTATTTTTTACCTTTTTAGAGCTGTATTATAAAGCGATACTGTGAGAAAAGATTCGTGTCTAAATACCTGGCAACAATTGGAATTGACTATGGAGTTACAAAGTAAGTATATTGTTCCCCTGGGTTTATAAGTTACATAGAAGTTCAGAACTTTCCAAAATGATCTATATTTGCATCAGTGCACTTGTGTAGGTAATCTTGAAATGGAGACTTTGAAGATAAGTTGGGAAAGATGGGAATAGGAGACCTTTAAAGGTATCTAGTGATCATATCATTCATTCAGCCCATGTATTGGTATTGAGCACATCCAGTTTGCCAGGCCTCATGTTAGGTGTAGGCTACAATGATGAAGATGTCAACACGAAGCCTAAATGGCAGGTGTAACTTTCCAGGAAACATGTTTTTATATTAGCAGTTCCTTCTAGCAGGTGTGTTTTTAGAGCATTTTGAAATATTCTCTCTAAAAAGTCTATAAATATTGTGTGAAACATTTTCTACCAGAGAACTTTTTTTATTGGTTTATGATCTTCATAGCTATTAGAATCCAGCAAAAATGGGCCAGACACGGTGGCTCACATTTGTAATCCCAGCACTTTGGGAGGCCGAGGTGGGCGGATCACGAGGTCAGGAGTTCAAGACCAGCCTGACCAACATAGTGAACCCCTGTCTCTAAGAAAAATACAAAAATTAGCCAGGTGTGGTAGCACACATCTGTAGTCCCAGCTACTCAAGAGGCTGAGGCAGGAGAATCACTTGAACCTGAGACGCAGAGGTTGCAGTGAGCCGAGACCGTGCCATTGCACTCCAGCCTGGGCAACAGTGAGACTCCATCCCAAAAAAAGAAAAAAGAAATGAACAGGTAAAAGTAAAGTTGGGTCTAATTGGGGATTTATGTGGCGATGAGTCAGGAGGGGGTTGAGCTTGAAGAGTTGGATGTAATTAGCAGGAAATAGCCATATAGTAGAATTGGAGTAGGTAGCATACTCCCTAAACATGAAATTTCAGGTGTTCACTGTCTTGGCCCCATTCTGGCCTTCCCCCTTTTCTCTGTTCTATTACACACTTTACTTTCCATCCACACTGAACTGCTACCCTCAGACTTTCTACCTCAGCATCATTATGCAGCCTGTCCACTTGGAACACCTCTGCCAATTTCTCTGAGATATAAACATTCTCCTGTTCCCGTAAGGTCTTCTAAACATGCCCTTTATTGGTCAGGACTCTTTTTGGTTGCAAATGACAGAAATCCTAAACTTCTCTATGCTATTTATGGTACTTACCAAAAATTGCCTTGTATTGTTATTATTTGTATATGTGTAATGTCTCCTTCTAGATTATAAACTCCCTGAAAATGTATTAGTATAAATTTTCTCCAAGTGCCTGGCATAGTGCTTATACCTAATAGGTACTCAACAAATGTTTATTGTTAGGTAAGATAGATACATCTAAAGAGGAAGATTGCCAGATTAGACTATGAGGGCAATTTTTAAGAAGGTAGACTAAAGTCGTGACATATAGCTAGCAGAATGTCAATTAGGTGAAGAGTGGAATCAAGTTCAGATGTATTCTTCATGGCTATTTAAAGTGGCCCCAGTAAATGGTAAAGTAAAACTCAAGAGTTCTGTGTAATGCTCTTATAGCACTGTTTTTCAACTGACAGCAGCAGAGGGTATTTCTGCAAATTTTCTTTAAAGAATGAAAATTGTGGCCGGGTGCGGTGGCTCAAGCCTGTAATCCCAGCACTTTGGGAGGCCAAGACGGGCGGATCATGAGGTCAGGAGATCAAGACCATCCTGGCTAACACGGTGAAACCCCGTCTCTACCAAAAAAGACAAAAAACTAGCCAGGCGAGGTGGCGGGCGCCTGTAGTCCCAGCTACCCGGGAGGCTGAGGCAGGAGAATGGCGGGAACCCGGGAGGCAGAGCTTGCAGTGAGCTGAGATCCGGCCACTGTACTCCAGCCTTGGCGACAGAGCGAGACTCCGTCTAAAAAAAAAAAAAAAAAAAAAAAGAATGAAAATTGTAGCTCTTGGCAGTGAAAAGTACGAAGCTCTTCATTTGAAATTCACATTTCTGGCTTGGCACAGTGGCTCACGCCTGTAATCCCAGCACTTTGGGAAGCCAAGGTGGGCGGATCACCTGAGACCAGGAGTTCGAGACCAGCCTGGCCAACATGGTGAAACCTCGTCTCTACTAAAAATACAAAAATTAGCCAGATGTGGTAGCAGGTGCCTATAATCCCAACTACTTGGGAGGCTGAGGTGGGAAAATCACTTGAACCTGGGAGGCGGTGGTTGCAGTAAGCCAAGATTACACCACTGCACTCCAACCTGGGCAGCAGAATGAGACTCCTTCTCAAAACTAAATAAAAATAAAAATGAAATTCACATTCTTTCTTTTTTTCTCCCCTGAGACAGAGTTTCGCTCTTGTCACCCAGGCTGGAGTGCAGTGGTGCAATCTCAGCTCGATGCAACCTCAGCTCGCTGCAACCTCTGCCTGCCGGGTTTAAGCGATTCTCCTGTCTCAGCCTCCCGAGTTGCTGGGATTACAGGCACGTGCCACCACACCCAGCTAATTTTTGTATTCTTAGTAGAGACAGGGTTTCACCATGTTGGCCAGGCTGGTCTCAAACTCCTGACCTCGTGATCCGTCCACCTCGGCCTCCCAAAGTGCTGGGTTTACAGGCATGAGCCACCGCATCCAGCCTGAAATTCACCTTTCTTTCTAGTTTTCTTTTCCTCTTTCCTACTTCAAAGCATAGGATTTCATCAGTGATGTAGTAGGACATCCTGTTTAGGGTAGTTCTGTTCTGAATTCATATAAGTAGCTAGTTTATTTATCTAAGATGTGAGAATTACCATATTATGCCATAGGACCGTGGTATATTCAACAGACTATTTTGTTTCTGGCAGAAATTTTTTTGGAAGAGATGTTTGTCCCATGATGAGTCAGGAGAATATAATTGACAGAAACCTATTTCAAACCAACTTAAGCAAAATAAAAGAAAAAGGATATTAATCAGTTCACATAATCTAGCAACAAGGATGCAGCTGGGCCTCAGAGATGGCTGGAATCAGGGAGGGAATATAGACAGGTCATTTCACTACATCTCTCTCCGTCTCTACCTATTGGCCTGGAATAACTTTTTTTTTTTTTCGAGATGGAGTCTGGCTCTGTTGCCCAGGCTGGAGTTCAGTGGCCGGTTCTCAGCTCACTGCAAGCTCCGTCTCCCGGGTTCACAACATTCTCCTGCCTCAGCCTCCCGAGTAGCTGGGACTACAGGCGCCGCCACCTCGCCCGGCTAGGTTTTTGTATTTTTTAGTAGAGACGGGGTTTCACCGTGTTAGCCAGGATGGTCTCGATCTCCTGACCTCGTGATCTGCCCGTCTCAGCCTCCCAAAGTGCTGGGATTACAGGCTTGAGCCACCGCACCCGGCCTGGAATAACTTTTAAACATTCATCCTTGTGTTTTTCTTTAGTGTTTGAATTATTTCTAATGTTCCTTTATCATTTTCCACTGGTGATTTTTCATGGAAAAAAAAAAGACTGGAAGCAAATATGCTATGATGTTAACAGTAGTTAGTTCTAATATGAATAGTTACTGTTTCCCCTTTGGTTTTATTCTTTATTTCCAAATATCTGAAAACAAATTCACTATTGCTCTTGCTCAAATAAAGATCACAAGAAAATTAAACAGACATGATCCATGTAAGTCTTTGTTGTTCTACTGTGTGGGAACCAAATATAACCAGTGGCAATTAAGATGTCTCTTACTAAGTGAAATAAGAGTTTTCATTTTCCTTCATCTTGCTCCTACTTATCCCAAATCAGTTTTTCTTAATACCATAGTAATAGCTGCCCTTTGTTGGTTGGGAGTGGTGGACCAAAGTTTCTAGAGGTGAAGGTGAAAGTGAAGTAATTGAGAATGCCTACTGCATGTGGGTTCAGTGTTCTTGGGATAAGAAAGCAGGATGGGCCGGGCGCGGTGGCTCAAGCCTGTAATCCCAGCACTTTGGGAGGCCGAGACGGGCGGATCACGAGGTCAGGAGATCGAGACCATCCTGGCTAACACGGTGAAACCCCGTCTCTACTAAAAAATACAAAAAACTAGCTGGGTGTGGTGGCGGGCGCCTGTAGTCCCAGCTACTCAAGAGTCTGAGGCAGGAGAGTGGCATAAACCCGGGAGGCGGAGCTTGCAGTGAGCTGAGATCTGGCCGCTGCACTCCAGCCTGGGCAACAGAGCGAGACTCCGTCTCAAAAAAAAAAAGAAAGAAAGCAGGGTCTTCTGTCAGGTTGCTGACTGCTGTTGTAAAGATGATCTGGAATGAAGAAGAGGCACTAAGAAAGCTTCATAAATTGCATACACATACCCTTTTGAAATTTATAAATGATACTAAGGTAAATGGAGAAACCATGACTTTTGGGATTGTTTCCATTTGAACATTTCAGGGTACACGTCAGAGACAGAGAAATCAAAGTTAACATCTTTGATATGGCTGGACATCCCTTCTTCTATGAGGTAAGAAAGCCTTTTTGACAAAAGCTATATCCAGTATTGGTGGTGGTTTGGGGAGAGATCCTGAATTATATGAAACAACCAATATTGATATCATGTGTAAAATTGCATAATTTTAGCTTGATCGTGGCTTGCCTTCAGAGCCTTAAGTTAATAGACACCTGTTGATCTTTTAGGTTATCCTGTTAAATAGTGGTAGGAAATTTCATTGCTAATATTTCAAACATTTCGATAAGACATTTTGACTTTCAGAGGACTTTTGCTTTTTACCTCATACTTTAGCCTAAAATGTGAAAAAAAAAATTACATTTATGCTTGGACTTAAGAATTCAGTGATGTGACTTCTTTGACAGCAGAGTACTGGAGTGATCGTTCCTATTCATGCCTAGTCATCTGCATTCTTTCCAGAGAAGAAACTAAAGCAACCACTTGGTTTATTTTCATCTGCTTGCCAGCTCTAAGTAATCCCCACATGAATCTCATGACCATTCTCTTTTGTTTTTCCTTCCTTGGGCTTTGTCATTTTTCCTAAGGAGGTTTTTTGCTCTTTTCTGGTTTGGCTGTTTCACTTCTGCCCTTATCTTCATCATTTCCTTCTCTCTGCTTGCTTTAAGCTTATTTTGCTCTTTTTGTTTTAGATTCTTGAGGTGGGATCTTAGATTATTGATTTGAGACTTTTTCCTTTTTTAATAAATTCATTTAATGCTACATATTTCCCTCTCAGCACAGCTTTGTGTCCCACAAATTCTGAGATGTTGTATTTTCATTTTCATTCAGTTCAATGTATTTCTTTAATTTCCCTTGAGACTTTGTGTTTGACGCATGAGTTATTTAGAAGTGTGTTATTCAGGCCGGGCACAGTAGCTCATGCCTGTAATCCCAGCACTTTGGGAGGCCAAGAAGGGTAGATTACCTGAGGTCAGGAATTCGAGACCAGCCTGGCCAACATGGCGAAACCCTGTCTCTATTAAAAATACAAACATGAGCCGGGCGTGGTGGTGCATCCCTGTAATCCCAGCTTCTCAGGAGGCTGAGGCAGGAGAATCACTTGAACAGGCGGAGGTTACAGGGATCCAAAATCGCGCCACTTCACTCCAGCCTGGGTGAAAGAGTGAAACTCCATTTTGAAAAAGAAAGTGTGTTATTCAAAAACAAAAAAAACACAAAAAAATGCTGGGCGCAGTGGCTCACGCCTGTAATCCCAGCACTTTGGGAGGCCGAGGCGGGTGGATCACCTGAGGTCGGGAGTTCAAGACCAGCCTGACCAACATGGAGAAACCCCATCTCTACTGAAAATACAAAATTAGCTAGGCATGGTGGCACATGCCTGTAATCCCAGTTACTCGGGAGGCTGAGGCAAGAGAATCGCTTGAATCTGGGAGGCGGAGGTTGCGGTGAGCCGAGATCACACCATTGCACTCCAGCCTGGGCAAAAAGAGCGAAACTCCGTCTCAAAAAAAAAAAAACACATACACACATACAAAAACAAAAGAAAAAAAGTGTGGTGTTTAGTTTCCAAGTGTTAGGAGATTTTCCTGTTATCCTTCTGTTACTGATTTCTAGTTTGATTCCATTGTGATCAGAGGCTGCCTCAGTGATGATGGCTGCTGACTGATCAGGGTGGTGGTTGATGTGGCAGTTTCTTAAAATAAGACAACAATAAAGTTTGCCACATTGATTGACTCTTCCTTTCATGAAAGATTTCTCTGTACCATGCAATGGTATTTGACAGCATTTTCACCCACATTAGAACTTCATTCAAAATTGGAGTCAATTCAGTTAAACTCTGCTGCTGCTTTATCAACTAAGTTTATGTAATATTCTAAATTCTTGGTTGTCATTTCAACAATGTTCATAGCATCTTCACTAGGAGTAGATTCCATCTCAAGAAACCACTTTCTTTGCTCATTGATATGTAGCAATTCCTTATTTATTTTTTACTGTGAGACTGCAGTAATACAGTCACATCTTCAGGCCCTGTTTCTAATTCTAGTTTTCTTCCTGTTTCCACCACATCTGCAGTTACTTCCTCCACTGATGTCTTGAACTCCTCCAAAGTTATCTGCAAGGGTTGGATCCAACTTCCAAACTCTTGTTAAGGTTGATACTTCGACCTCTCCCCTGAATCACGGATGTTCTTAATGGTATCTAGTATGGTGAATGCTTTCCAAAAGGTTTTCAATTTGCTTTGCCATGCAAATTGAATCACTATGGAAGCTATAGCCTTGCAAAATGTATTTCTTAAACAGTAAGACTTCAAAGTCAAAATTATTCCTTGATCCATGGATTGCAGAATGGATGTTGTGTTAGCAGGCATAATAAAAACAGCTTTAATCTCCTTGTACATCTCCATCAGAGCTCTTGGGTAACTAAGTGCATTGTGAATGAGCAGTAATATTTTGAAAGGAATCTTTTTTTCTGAGTAGTAGGTCTCAATAGTGGGCTTAAAATATTCAGTAAACTGTGCTTAAACAGATGTGCTGTCATCCAGACCTTGCTGTTCTATTTATAGAGCACGGGCAGAGCAGATTTAGCATAATTCTTAAGGGCCCTAGGATTTTCGTTATGGCAAATGAGCATCAGCTCATTTAGCCCCTAATAGCTCTGTTAGCCTGTAACAAGAGAGTCAGCCTGTCCTTTGAAGCTTTTGAAGCCAGGCATTGACTTTTCCTTTCTAGCCTTGAAAGTCTTAGATATCATCTTCTTCCATTAGATCTATCTATTCCAAGGCTGTTTCATCTACATTGAAAATCTATTGCTTAGATTAGCCACCTTCATCAATGATCTTAGCTAGATATTTTGAATAATTTGCAGCACTATATCAACATATGCTGCTTCATGTTGCCCTTTTATGTTGCGAAGATGGCTTTTTTCCTTAAACCTCACGAACCAACCACTGCTAGCTTCCAACTTTTCCTCTGCAGCTTCCTCATCTCTCTCAGCCTTCATGGAAATGAAGAGAGTTACAGACTTGTTGTGCATTAGGTTTTGGCTTAAGAGAAGGTTGAGGCTGGTTTGGACTTCTATCCAGACCACTAACGCTTTCTCCACGTCAGCAATATGCTGTCTCACTTTCTTATCATTCATGTGTTTACAAGAGTAGCACTTTTAATTTGGTACAAAAGGCCCAGCTTTTGGCCAGTTTTCGAAATGCCTTCCTCACTAAGCTTAATCATTTCAAGATTTTGATTTAAAATGAGAGATATGTGACTCTTCCTTTTACTTGAACACTTAGGGGCCATTGTATTGTTATTAATTAACCTACTTTCAATATTGTTTTGTCTCACGGAATAGGAAGGCCCAAGGAGTGGAAGAGAGATGGGGCAACAGCCATTTGGTGGAACAGTCAGAATATATACAACATTTATTAAGTTTGCTGTCTTAAATGATCTTATATGTTCATGGTACCCCAAAACACTTAAAATAGTAACAGATATCACTGATCACAGATCATCATAACAGATATAATGATGAAGTTTGAAATATTATAAGTGTTACCAAAATGTGACACACACATAAAATGAACACACACTGTGGAAAAATGGCACCGATAGACTTGCTTGACTTGGGGTTGCCACAAATCTTCACTTTGTAAAAAAACACAATATATACATACCATGCAATAAAGTGAGGTGTGCCTGTGTGCCTTACATAGGTGCAATAAAGTGAGGTGTGCCTGTCTCTGCTAGGCCCTGTGGGTGGCACAAGGGTGGATACATGAAGATGCATGTCTTCACATTTCTTCTAGTGTAGGAGGGAAGACAGCTGGATATGCTACTAACTGTAAAACTGGGCAGGAAGTGATAGCACTATTAGGAGTACAAAACCATATGGTACTGCAGGGGACGTAGAGATTACATTCTGTTTTGCAGGAGTAGGGGGCTGGATGGTGAGGAATGGGACAGAGAAAGCTGCATGAGAGATACAGCATTATAGCCAGGGCTTGAACAATTAAAGATAAAGAGGTGTCTGTTTCCAGATGGAATTAGAAAGGCATGGGGCAGGTTTGGGGAATGAGAGATTACCCACTTTGAAGGTCGGGGATAGTGGGAGGATAAGACTCGGAAGGTTGGTGGAGGACTGATCAGAAACTTTTAACATTGTTTGAGAAAGTTGGAACTTTGGAGAATAGTTTAAGAAGGAAGAAGTTGAAGGGTTTCCTGTGTGCATATTGAATTTGAGATTCCAACAGGACATTCAGCTGGAAGAATCTGGTGCTAATTAGACATGGAAGTCTGGAACCTCAGAGGAGAGGGCTCATCTTGGAGATTCTCACAGTTGAAACTGTACAAGTGGTTGATGTTGCTGATTTGGGAGGAAGGATTCAAAAAGACAGGAAGAGGGCACAGGACAGGATTTGGGGGATTTTGGTGGTAAGCTGGAATGGGAGCAATAGAGAGAAGAGGAGTTGGTGAAAGAGAATTTAAGAGCCTAGGGAATGTGATGTATGGGAGCCAAGGCAGCGAGAGTTTTAGGAAAGAAGAGAGAGCCCATTGTTACTACTGTAGAAGGGCCAAAGACCGTGAGTACTGAGGAAGGGGACTGGTGGCTTAGTCATCTTCAGTTCTTTCTGATTTTGTTGGTTTTAACTTTAGGGGATAGCTTCTTAGTTTTCTGTAAACAAATAGGAGCACTTAATATCCTTGGTGCAGATACCTGCCTATGCCCAGAAACCCTACCTGATATGTATAACATGTTTTCATTTCTTATACTACATAGCCTGTGTGGGTCTGAGTACATTTGGGAATTCTGTGAAAAGAACGTATAATATATGGCCTCTGTCAGGGTTCTTTCTGGAACTTTGTCCCAGAAACCCTGTCTGTCAATGCTGCTCCTCACCCACTTAACCTCTCTCTGGCCCTAATGTTTGAGTATGCCCATACTTCATGCTGCTTCTTCCCGGATTTGGAATGAAGCTCAGAGAATGGATGCAAGGAAGGAAGGGGAGGGTGTTAAATAGACATTGTTTTTCAGGCACCATGCTAAGTACTTTGCCTGCATTATCTCATTTAACCTTCATAATAACCCTGTGAAGTAAGTAGTATTATCCCCATTTTACAGATGAGGAAACTGAGACGCAGAGAGGTTAAGTGACTTGCCCAAGATCACACAACTAGTAAGTAAGTGTGAACCCAGATCTGTCTGACTCCAGAGCCTGTGCTCTTTTCCATTGTATTACACTGAGGCTCTGAGTTTGGAGTTCTAAAGTTGTTGTGCAGACCCGAGAGTCAGGAAAGCTCTGTCTAGCACCCTGGGGGAAGCCAGCTTTGGGATATGATTTATAAATGGCTGTACCCATTGCTGACACTTGTGTCATTTTTGCCTTAAGTTCTTTTGAATTGCTCACTCACCCTCCTAATTCTTCCTAAGAAGAACTTTATATAATTGGTGTTCTTTTAAGGTCTACTAATAATTAAAGACTGATTTCCTCTAGGGAGTGGAACTGGAGGTGGGATGGGGTGGGGCAGGAGGCTATTGTTTTCCATTGTAGGTCCTTTCTATACTAATACATTTTTAGAATGACATTACTTTGATTCTATAAAAAATCCTCTGAAGACCAGTAGAAACAGATGCAATAGCAAACACTAAGAATACACAAGAGAACACACTTTGCCAGGTTAATGACTATGAGATATATTCTTATAACATCACAAAAACTACGTTTTGTGTATCTGTCCTTTTATTTGAAGGTTCGAAATGAGTTTTATAAGGACACACAGGGTGTGATACTGGTCTATGATGTTGGGCAGAAAGACTCCTTTGACGCCCTTGATGCGTGGCTGGCAGAAATGAAGCAAGAGCTTGGACCTCATGGAAACATGGAAAATATTATATTTGTAGTTTGTGCCAACAAGGTAACCCCTCTGGAAATGGTGTGTTCAGGTTTCTAGGGGAAGAGTGGAGCTTTGAGTGTTGGGAAACAAAAAGAAAAGAAAAATTCCTTATTGTATAATATGGGAATCAATAACCTTTCAAAACATAATGTCCCTAAGACAAAAAGAAAACAGCACAGCAACCTAAAACCTGCTACATCAAGATTTGTATACTTTTTTTTTTTTTTCCTGGTGCCATACTTGGGGAAGGATGTTTGTGACTGAGCGGGAGCAATGGGTCCTAATAATCACACTGACCCGACTGGAGTAGGGGCATTAATTAGGTGATGTGGACTATGGAAAAGTATGAAAAGCAGACTGTGGCCCCAAGGGTATGGCAGATATCATGAAACCAACTTTCACAGAACTGAGTAACAGCTGTTTTCCCAAGGGATCAGGTGGGACATTACAGCAACAGGCACTCGTCCTATTGCCATAGAATATCAGTCTTCATATCACATTCAATATCACATTCAATATTAGGTTTTGTTTGTGTCCCTTTGGTCCTGGTAATTTTACATACTAGTGCAGATGTTTACTAAGAATAGCTTTGCCTTAGTAAAGGATTGACAAAGACCCTCACTGGGTCCATTCTAGTAGGACAAGGTTGTAATCTTCTCTCTGCCCCCCGACCCCTTCTATTTCAGATTGATTGTACCAAACACCGCTGTGTAGATGAAAGTGAAGGACGTCTTTGGGCTGAAAGCAAAGGGTTCCTGTACTTTGAAACTTCAGCACAAACTGGAGAAGGCATTAATGAGATGTTCCAGGTAAGCTAGCATTTTGTCGTTTTAAGGTTTGTGTCAAGGCCACTGTGCCAATTTTTAGTTTAAATTATAGGAAGCAAAAAAGTAATAGGAATTTCTCATTAGAATAAGCTCTTTCTTTTCAAAGAATCTAGTGAGATAGAAATAGAGAAAGGGGGAGAGAAAGGAAGAGAGAATGAGAATGAGTGATCTGCCTGCTGTCTATTTTAGATGAAACTTAGCTGATCATCAGAATTACCTGAGGAAATTCTTCAAAATACATACTTCTGGGCTCCAGACCTACTGGAAGCTTATGTTGCAGTGGAGCCCAGGAAGCTATATTTTGAAAAAACTCTCCAGGTGATCCTGAAGATCATCAAGTTTAACAACAGTTATTATACACTGCTTAAGCAGGACAGAGATTTTCTTCAAAGCCACCTTTGGCTAATGGTATTACATTTATATGCATAATCAAATAGAAGCATTACTGTGGCAAAATTGCCTTGCCACAGCTCGTATAATCCTATATTGTAGCCCACAGGGGTACAGTTAGAGAATAGGAGACTCTCAGTATAGACTCCAGCCAGTCACACAAAAATAAGGCCTTGCCAATCAAGCAGGAAATAGAGGGAGATGCTCACAATGCAACCTGAATAGATGGCCACTTTAAAAAAACCTACTCATCTTGAGTAATTTTAAGGGAAATAGGCTATTTAAAACAGTAACTTATAAAGTCAGCCCTTAATTATAGATACATTTGGAGGTAAGTGGTAGCATGAATAATGTATTTTTCTTCTTATGAATATATCTGATATTTTGGGAATTTTTAGCATTTCAAATAATATAGTTACACTATAAAGAGTTGTTCTTAATTGTTGAGTGGGATTGTACTTAATCTTTTATGCTGAATTTCCTTCTCACAAGATGTCACTCCTCCTACTAGAAGACAGATCTCTTCCTTGGCTGACAGGCTGAATTAAGCAAAAGTATTTTCTATTTCAAAATGAAATAAAGTTGATGCTGGTTTGCCATGCTTTCTATTCTTTTGAGTACATGGAGCAATGTGAGTTTGTGCCTGTATGTGTATAATAATGATACCTAACCATTTGACTAGTACTTTACCATTCTGGAGAAGTTATACATTTCATCACATGGAGACTTATAACAACAATGTATGGCAGGTATTGTTATCATTTCATATATGAGAGCATCTAAGGGTAGTAAAGTGATTTGTCCAAGGGACATAATTGTTAGAAATGAAATTTTTTTCAGCACTTTAAAGATGCTGGTCCATTCTCTTCTGGCTTCCATTGTGTTTCATGAGATGTTAGCACTCATTCTGACTCTTATTAATCTCTGTGCCTAATGTGCCCTTTTTTCTCCCTGGCTGCTTTCAAGAGTTTCTCTTTTCTTTGGTTTTCAGCAGTTAGAATATGATGTGCCAAGATGTGATTTTCTTCATTTTTATTCTATTTGGGATTTACTGAGTTTCTAAGATTGGTAGGTAGGTGTTTTTCATCAAATATGGGAAGTTTTTTGTTTTGTTTTTGTTTTACTATTATTTCTTCAGATTTTTTTTTTTGGCCACATTCTGGCTCTCTTTACCTTCTTGGCCTCCAATTACATGTATATTAGACCATTTGATTTTGTCCCAGAGTCCCTGAGGCTATATTTATTTTTAATCTATTTTTTTCTGCATTTTTCAGATTGCATAGTCTCTGTTGATTTTACTTCACCACTGACAATCTACTGTTAAATTCACTGAGGGAAGTTTTCAGCTCTAGAATTTGCATTTGGTTCCCAGTATAGTTCTCAGTTCTCTATTAGATGGTCTGCCCACTCATTAAGAGTATATTTTCCTTTACTTCTTTGTATGTATTTTTCTTTACCTCTTTGAAATATTTATAATAGCTGTTTTACAGTCTTTGTCTGCGAAGTCCAACATTTGAACCATCTTGGGTTCAGTTTCTATTTACTACTTTTTTTTCCTGACTATGGATCACATTTTCATGTTTCTTTGTATGAATAGTGGTTTTTGATTGAACACCAGACATTGTGGATAACACATTGTAGAGACTTTAGATTCTTTTGTCTTCCTCAGAAGACTGTTGATTCTTGATTGAAGACTGTTTAGTGTTGATTTTTGATTCCTCAGGAGGCAGTTTAATTATTGGCAAATTACAATGAACTTGTGTTGACTTGGTGTTTTGTTTTGTTTTTGTTTTTTTGTTTGTTTTTTGCCTTAATAGCAAGGATTTGAAGAAAGCTCAAAGTGTTTCCCAAGCCCTTCTAATTTGGCAGGACTCAGCTTCCAAATTCTGTCTCTTTTGCAGATCTTGTCAGCTCTTGGTTTTAGGTTTTGTTAGGATGAGTCTATAATTTTTAGGGCACAGCCTTTCTGTGGTGCCTCAATAGGTGGTAGGGCAATTAATAAGGGGTTAAGGCAATATCTCCACTCTGACAAGGCTAAACCATACTGTTCCCAGGATAGCTCTTTCTGTAGCACCACTAGAACTCAGGATATTGGTTTTGTTCTCAACCCCATAGCAGCTGTTACCTGGTAAGCCTTGAGTGATCTCACCCTATGCATATTATAGCCCAGCCTTTGGCCACAGACTCATGAGAGACCCCCATATGGACTTGGTGCCCAGCTCTGCACAGCTCTCTTCTCTCCAATGGCCTGCTTTGCAGATTCTAGCCACCTCCTCAGCTCAATGAGACTTGTGTCTGCTCAGACTCCAGCTCTCTGTGACGTGGTCAGGAAATGGACTCCAAGTAGACAACCAGGTGATTGTGGGGCTTATCTCTCAGGGAATGGTCTTGTACTTGCTGTTGTCTACTACCAACAGTTTTTTTTCCAGTTCAATAGTAGTTGATGGCAGGAGGTCTAGTCCAGTATTCATTACTCTGTCATAGCTGGAACTCAGACGTGAAATTTCAACAGGCTTTGGTCTCAATCCTAGTATTCTGTAGCCCACACCATGGCTTGTCTTCTATAACCATGTGTGTGATGAATGAATCCTTGTGCCTTCAGAAATCTATGAATACTCATATTTCAGGCTAACTCATAGGCTAGAAGACCAATCTTACTGACACACAGCTAGCAAATATCCGTGAACTGTGATCCCTTTTATGTGACTTGTATCTTTTTAGCTACATCTTGGATAGAACTAATGGATAAATTAGTCTGTTAAAAAAAAAAAAAAAAGACAAGAAGAGAATAATTACAGTATTCTATAAGTAAGTACTTAAAAGCAGTGCTTTCCTGTTGGTTCAATTTAATAAATATTTTCTTTATTTCCTATCTACTTAATAGACATTTTATGTCAGGAAGTAACTTGGTTTTATCTGGTTGATACTGTTAACAGAGAGAGCAATATTAAGATAGACTAAAGCCAAGCTAATACGTCTTGTGTCTTGGTCTCTAGTGGTATTCCTTTGACACCCCTTTTCAGACGTCAAGGCTTCTTGTTAGGTTACCAGGTTGATTGGCTAATACTAGAGGTAAGAAAGAAGAGTCTGAAAGAAAGCTAAAAATTTTAGAAGATAACAAGAACTATAGAAGAATCCAAAAAAGAAGAGGAAAAGATTTTTAAAGAAATTAGTAGAGGAGATATGTCCATTTAAAAGTAGCTGTAGTGTGGTAAATGAGTATTGTTCAGTAATAATTACAGTGTGCACAGAACATGAAACAGGAGCAGAGTCAAAAAAGCTTTCACTTTAAAAAAAAATCAGAAAAGTGTAGCCAGGTGCAGTGGTGCATACCTGTAATCCCAGCTGCTCAGGAGGCTGAGACAGGATCACTTGAGCTCAGGAGTTTGAGACCAGCCTGACCAACATAGAGAGACCCTGTCTTAAAAAACAGAAAACACAAAATTGTAAAAATGGGCAAAGAATATAAAGTTTGCAGAAAAAGAAAAGGCCATAAGCATTTGGAAAGATACCCACTTTCACTTATAATTAAACAAATGCAAATCAAACTATATTACATATATATCAGATTAGCAAAAATTAAGATGTTTGATAATGGACAGTGTTAATGAGGGTATGGAGAAATAGGCACTCTCTCTCACACACACAGTGATGGAATGTAAACTGGTACAGCTTTTTTTGGACAATGGTTGTCAGACTCAAAAATTAAAATGTGCATATACTCCGGCTCAACAGTTCTGCTTTTAGGAATTTATCCTAAAGCAGTATCCCCACAAGTGTACAGAGATGTATACACAAACACTGTTTGTAGTAGCAAAAAAATTAAAAACAACTGACTTGTCCAAGAATGGAGAGTTGGTTACACAAATTATGGTACAGCCCACACCATACAATACTGAACAGTCATTTAAAAGAACAAAGAAAGTCTCTACATGTAGCTATAGAAAGATTCCAGGATGTATTATTATGTGGAAAAAAATGCAAGGTGCTAAGATGTGTTTAATCTGATCTCCTTTAGTACATGTTGAAAGATTATGGGTCTGTGTATATACTGGCATACTCATGGTAAATTTTTCTAGAAGGATGCTCAAAAAAAATTAACAATGGTTACCTCCAGGAGAGGAACTTGAGGAGTAGAGAGACACAGTTTTCATTTTACACTTTTCTTTACTATTTGAATTTTTCTAGCAGTGTTCATCTATTACTTTTGTTTTGGTTGGTTGGTTGTTTTTTGAGACAGGGTCTGGCTCTGTCACCCAGGCTGGAGTACAGTGGCATGATCTGGGCTCACTGCAGCCTTCACTTCCTGGGTTCGAGCATCCTCCCACCTCACCATCCAAGTAGCTGGGACTACTGCTTGGGTGGTGCACCACCACACTTGGCCAATTTTTTTTTTTTTTTTTTTTTGGTGGAGACGGTGGTTTGCCGTGTTGCCCAGGCTGATCTCAAACTCCTGAGCTCAAGCAGTCCGTGCACCTTGGCCTCCCAAAATGCTGGGATTATAGGCGTGAGCCACCATGCCCAGCTCATCTGTTACTTTTTAACTTCAATTGTGGTTATCTGAAAGTAGGATTATCAGCCACTTTAATTTTATTCCTTATACTTTTTGCGTATTAAAATATATGAATATATATATTTAAATAGTATAAAAAAAAATCTTCCAAAGTATGTATTTGCTTTATACATGACTTCTAAGAGTTGCTGGAATATATTAAAAGTATTTTAAGTTGATGTTTAAAAGGAATTCCTATTTTCACAAAATCATTTCTACCCTGGGATGTGTTTTCTTCTTGCAGACCTTTTATGTATCCATAGTTGATTTATGTGAAAATGGCGGGAAACGCCCTACCACAAATAGCAGTGCTAGTTTCACCAAAGAACAAGCAGATGCCATTCGCAGAATTCGAAATAGTAAAGACAGTTGGGACATGCTGGGAGTCAAACCTGGGGCGTCAAGGTAAGCGCTCTGGGATTCTCAGTGCTGACTTCTATCATAAAGAAAGACCCCATCACCAAAATTATAGGTGCAGTACATCTTCTTCCAATTGGCTGGAAATACGAAGATGTATGAAAATATATCAGAATGACTCTGTTTCACTGAATTAGCTGAATACCAAAGAGACAAAATAGAGGGCACAGTTGCCCGGTAAGAAAATTGTGTCATGCCGGGCGCGGTGGCTCAAGCCTGTAATCCCAGCACTTTGGGAGGCCGAGACGGGCGGATCACGAGGTCAGGAGATCGAGACCATCCTGGCTAACACGGTGAAACCCCGTCTCTACTAAAAAATACAAAAAGCTAGCCGGGCGAGGTGGCGGGCGCCTGTAGTCCCAGCTACTCGGGAGGCTGAGGCAGGAGAATGGCGTAAACCCAGGAGGCAGAGCTTACAGTGAGCTGAGATCCGGCCACTGTACTCCAGCCTGGGCAACAGAGTGAGACTCCGTCTCAAAAAAAAAAAAAAAAGAAAATTGTGTCATATATGTGCATAAACACTTCGTGAAATGGTATGCTCTGCTTTTATCTGTGTGGAACAAGAAGAGCCTTGAAGCTAATGTAACTAAAAAAAAACTAACAAGAGAATTATTCAATCATAGAATGTTAGAGGAGGAAAGCATGTTGGCAATAAACTTGTACAAACATTTCATTTTGTAGGTGGGAAAACTGGGATTCAGTGAGATTAAGCATGTTCAAGAATCTCAGGAGTTGGTGGTATAATTGGTTCTTACCCTGGAACACTATATGTTCAACTGTCTAAAGCCCTGCACGTTCCTCATCTGTGTGTACGTTCCTCATCTGTGTGTGTATTTGTTTGTTTATTTTATTTTTTATTTATTTTTATTTTTGAAACAGAGTCTCACTCTGTCACCCCGGCTGGAGAGCAGTGGTGTGATCTCAGCTCACTGAAACCTCTGCCTCCCGGGTTCAAGCAATACTCCTGCCTCAGCCTCCTGAGTAGCTGGGATTACAGGCACACGCCACCACGCCTGGCTAATTTTTGAATGTTTAGTAGAGATGGGGTTTTGCCATGTTGGCCAGGCTGATCTTGAACTCCTGGCTTTGGGTGATCCAACCGCCTTGGCCTCCCAAAGTGCTGGGATTATAGGCGTGAGCCACCACTGCACCCAGCCCTCTGTGTGTGTATTTATGTTAATTATTTTATTTAAGTCAAAAGAGTTATTCAGGAAAAAAAATTCAATCACTATTCTTTGTTGCCTGTACCAAAATTAAATTATTATTCATTATGGTTATGTAACTTTCAATGGTCTAATTCCACCATTACTACACATATTGTAATTTGTGTGTCTTATTTTGCACCCAGACTCCCCCCACATACTTCACCCTTCCTACTTCGTCACCTTGATTCTCACAAAAGAAAAAAGTATGTCTTGAAATTGCCACGTCAGCACCCAAAGCACTACACATCTCTTCTCCATTCTGACCTCACAGCATATCTTCGGGTCCAGAAGGAAAGAGGAGAAGGGAAGGGGAAGACTGTTATTGAGCACACTCATTCACCAGGTGGTATTGAGGATGCTCTAAAGCTGTCAGGGAATTCAGATGACCTCATGTGTAAGGCATAGAGTTTATCGGGATCTTTTTTTTTTAGTGCTATACTGTTTGGTTTATTGTAGATTTTTAGTGAGTTTTGAAATTGGAAAATGTGTCTTCCTATTTTCTTTTTCAAGATTGTTTGACTATTAAGGATCTATTGTAATTCCATATATATTTTAAGATCAGCTTCTCCATTTACAAAAATAAATAAATAAATAAGCCAGTAAGGTTTCAGTAAGATTGCACTGAATCTGTATATCCGTATCTTTTAAATTTCTTTTTAGACCTCCATAGTCTCTTTCTGAATTCTTCTGTGTCATCTCCAAGGGATGCTGGCTCTAAACTTAAGAAACGATTACTTTTTCTACCTGTTAGTAGACTGAGAACAATATTCATTAAGAAAGAAGAAACTTTTGGTTCCTTGTATATTCACTTTGGTTAATTGAAGTTTACCAGAACTTACAGGCCCCTATAGGTTTCATATCCTTAACCAATAGAAACATGTGCTTCTTACCTTTGTTCCACTGGGCCTAGCAAACTAATTTTGTATGGCACTAAGTACATTTGGGAAAAAAACCTTAAAACATTTTTTTCTTAAGTTACAGAGAGTTTTGATATTTGTTGAGTGTTAACTGTGTTTACTGTTCTTGAACTTTAAGAAAATCTTCGTCTTCAACAGAATTGATGTATTGTTACATCTTGAGAGCTTCTCCTGCTACCTGCAAATCTTGAAAGGCACTCTTAGTGCAGAGGACCAGGTGTAACTACTGACCCCATGTGCACACCCTCTCTCGGGAGGCAGAGTGGCTGGAAGGGCCCTTCCCAGGACTCCCTCGTGGAGAAGAGGGAGGATGCTGTACCTTCCTCAAGGATGTGGGGTCTTTGGGACAAATAAAAATTCTGACAATTCGAATTGCTTCAGAGAGGGAGAATGTCATTCTTGTTCGCGAATTATCAAAATTATACATGTAGAAAAACAACATGCAGGGCACCAGGAAGGCCCCCCGCCAGAGTAGCCTTCTGAAAGAACAAGGTTCTTGCTAAAACAAGAAAATTCAGGACCCCTCTAAGAGCAGAAAGCAGAAAAGGCCCTAGAATGTATGCCTGAGACTTGGAGGACTGTTAACATGACGCTATGACCTCAGTCTCTCCAAGCTGATTCATAAAACTTTCCATCATAGCCAAGGTATCAAAGGCCGTCTGATTTGGCGAGCCACATTAGAAATCCTTCTGATAAAAAATAAAGGAGAAAGGCTAGGGCATTTGATAAAGCGCCGTATCCATGCTTATAGGATCACTGGAACCCTGAATTACAAAAGGAAGGTGAGAAATAAAACCATCTGGTAGAGACAGAGCTTAATCTGACAGGGGAGTGGCTGGGTACTTAGAGCCTTCTGGGAGGCCTGACATCAGATGATGATGACCAGTGGGGACAGGGACAGGTGTATCCAGGCCCCTCCCCAGCCAGTTTTGGCTCTTTGAGGCGCTCAGAAGCCTGCAGCTCTCTCCTGGAGCGCCGCTGGTTTATGGGAACTGCCGGATTGGAAAAGCACAGCTACTGCTCCTTTCCTCTCCGGATAGTACTTATCTCTGTCATGTTTCTTCTTTGGTCTCAGTGAGCTCATGGTCATTCTGGGCTACCCCTTTCCAGCATCCCTTGCTTGCTCAGTGGTGTCACCTTCTTGGGCCTCAGATTCCTCATGACCTTGACCCTAGAGCTCATTTCAGCCCCTTTCCTTTCATCTTCTCCTTCTGGATATTCAGCTCATCATCCTCTTCTGCCATTTCTTTCTTTATCTTTT